ATATAACCCTATAAAGAAAATAGTCAAAACATCAGAATTCTTTAGCTTGTCTCTCTGATGAAAAATATACCTCTCCAGATCCCCCAAATCTGAATTATGTTTGGGCTTTTAACCTGGTCAGTCTAGACAGATGCAAACACAGGTCCTTTCCTGCTTTCTGTCCGTGAGTTTTCCACAACAATGTGCTAATATTCCTGTTTAGATGCAGATATAGGTTACAAAAACAAGATCTAAGGCAGAGATGAACATTTTTCACAACCTTTAGTGTTTTATGTTTATTGCTTGTGTCTGTTGCCTGTTGAATGTCATGTGGAACAGATGATAGGTTTGGAAAGTACAGATAATTATACAACTGCTAAGTGAACTGGAAGTGCTGCCTGCAGTGTTTAGTGGGGAGTCTACAATTGTTTCCTGACCACTGCAGAAACATAGCTTCATTTAAACAATGGATTTCAAAAGCAAATTTTAGTTGATTGTAGAGGTTCTGTGAAGGAGTTTATGGGATACATCTGTATGTCTGTCCTTGTGCCTGAGGACTGACAGCTGTCCCTTCACCTAAATGAGCAATAATCATTGTGTTCTCATGGATACAGATAATTTTCTACCATGGTGGTTCTTTCAATCTACAAAAAAAATCCCCTGAAATTTGTAGCAATTAACATCCAATATTTCCCAGAAACACCATTCCTTGATAATGTATGAGACTTCTACTGTAAAGACATAAGAAATAGGCATTCAGCAGGGTGTTACTGAGACATTGCTCCAGTACTCCTGAGAGCTCATTCTCCATGTGTCAGGATTTGCTTTGACTGCCTAATACATGTGGGGTCAATAGCTGTATCTTTTGCATAAAAGATTTCATTCAGCTTTTAAATGGCAAGCAATTATAAGAGAGAGGGTTATGGACCTGGGTCTAAGTTTCATATTATTTATGTTCTAATTAACTTACCAGACTGCTTCTTTTTAAATTTTTTTTTTACCCTTGCTTTGGCTACTAAGTGTTGATCTTTAATAGTTATCATGTTCCTAGAATTAATAGGTTTTATTTCTTTGGAAAGGTCATTCTTGATGTAATGTCACTGTTAACACAAGGGAGCCTGTAAGCTTTAGACATTTTGCTTTATTGTGATGTGCTCAAAAATGTTGAACTACTTGCTGTCTTTCCCCTGGGGTATCTCTTCTCTAAACTAAGAAGAGTTAGTGCAAGTTCTTTTACATTTTTTACTTGCATTTTTGCAATTCATTAAAAGTACTCCTCAACTAGCAGCTGGCACTGCCAAAAAGACCTGGGTCATTTAAAAAACCCTTTTCTATTTATTTCTGGATGACTCTAGAAGCCTGAAAATTACTACCTGTAGTAAATGAATGCACAAGCCCTTGACTGGTAAAATTAGCAGTGATGCAACAACTTGGGTCATATCAGTTAAATGAATTAAAAATCTGTATGGTTACTAGCCTACTGCTAATAAGGTATGTTTAGTGCTCCTAAGGAAAAGAAAGTAAAATCACTTAAAACCCACCATTGAATGAGGTTTCTAAACTCAGTTCCCTCTCCTCTAGGCATTTATTATGTGCATGGCATAACAATATTTTGGCCTCTTAGTTATCTAAAGAGATTTTTAAAATTTATTTTATTTCCTGAAGTTACTTATGTCCCTAAACTTTACCAACTGGAATGAAAATTGACACACACATCTTTATTTCCTAGAACTAATAAATAGGACAAGCAGAATTATTCCTGCATTCCACCATGTGTCACATACATGGGTGTTGGTCTGGTTTTCTGAGATTGTATTCTCTTATTGCTTAACCTTATTCTTCATGATTCCCTCTTATAACACTCCAAACCACTGGGCAGTTTCAGTTAGAGTTGGTAGACTGAGCTGATAGCATCAAGTTCATAGGATTTTCATAAAAACAGGAAACAGAGAAGACAGAGAACACGTTGACCCATAGAAAGAAAGACTGAGATAATCAACAGGCCATGCCCTTGCTAAAAGCCAATTCACCTCTGAGCTTGGGTTTCAAAGAGAAATCAATAGGAAGCCAGACTTCACAACTATTTATTTCAATACTATCGTACTGCTATTGCTCTGTGTGATTTGTTGTAAAGAAAATATAACCATGTGACATGCAGAGAGCTTAGTGAAAAAAAATTGCCTACAACTTGTTCTACAGAACAGGTTGTCATCTTCCTCTTGAAGTCAAATAAAAGCATGTCAAAATCCATAGACACATTTGCATTGGGTTTCTTTCCTTTTGTATGAATTTCTCAATTTTTATTTTGAGTCGTTGGATGTTAGGCTTGTTTTTCTCCAATATCCTTGCAAGAATTGTGGGATTTTACTTGAAAGTAATTTTAAAAAAAAAATTCTTGCATTTGTGAGTGTTTAGAAAGTCAGAAAACATTCAACACATTTTCTTGAAGTTGAAAGACATTTTCACTTGTCCTTATACTGTTATGAGTTCTGGGGGTTGGTTCCTGTTTTTACACTGCTTCAAGGTGATAGCACTGAGTCTGTGTTTAATCCTCAAACCCAAGCTCTTCTTTGAAAGATTGTTTTCAGCAAACTCATTTTCAGTTTTAGCTTACCAGTGCAAAAGACAGATGCTTCGTGTTACACCGAGTTCAGTTTTGTGGTGCAGCAGTAATTGCTTTAAACTTTAACTTTGTGGAATATAAAGAAAACGATAGGTGGAAGGTTGCATTTTTATTTTTGGATAACGATCACACTGTTGGGAAATTAAACATGTATCATGTTCCTTATAGTTTCCAGCCATCCCATCCAAACCCCACTATCTGCTGTAAGAAATATGATTTTAATTTTTTCTCCAATGGCTTTTGCCACATCAGTGTTTTCCTTTGTGGAATAATGACTTTGCCCCATGCAACTGCATGTGAAGGCTTATAAATACACTCAAAGAATTTTTAATTTATTTCCTTTTTTGAAAACCTGAGATCCATATTTTCATTCACCTACTTTGTGAAGTCATTACTGCTGGAAAATAGGATCAAGCTGTTTATTTCATGAGGCAATAAATGACTGAAATGTTTGTTATAAGCAGATCTTTGAACAGGTTATTGTTGTAAGGCACTTTAGGTTTCAGTAATTCCACACCTTGCAGTATAACCAGATCAGAACTCTGAC